GCAATAAGGCATAACAGTAAATCTTATATTTTTTGTGTGAATAAAAATTACAAATTATTTATATTGTAATAATAATAATAATAATAATAATAATAATAATAATAATATTAATATGTATAATAATATGCATAATAATAATAGTACGTATAATAATATAATACAATAAGAATAATAATATAATACATATAATAATATGCATAATAATAATAATACATATAATAATATACAGGTCTCCCTCAACATTCACGAGGGTTAGGGGATCAAGAGCCTTGCAAATGTTGAAAAATCGTGAATGTTTGGTGCCCCTATATATTGTAGGGAAATATAATACAATACTGCTTCCTTAACTTGTTGAACCATGAACAATCATAAAATACATGAAAACGTCGTAAATTGTACTAAATACATACGTTATGCCTTAACAACATGTATGTTATTAAATACCACTGCCTCCACCACTGCAAGTCCCTCCGACCCCCCACAACTGGCAGCCAGCCCTCCCACCACTGTGTGGTGATTGTTTTGTTTGTTCATTATTTGCTATTAAACTACAGTATAAATAATGTCAACCCATTTATGACTGCATATTGTAATGGCTATTCGGACAGGTATTGGAAGGTGACATCATGTGTTTACTCTTGAACACAGCAAAGAATCAAACATTTATGCTACTGCTAATAATAATAATAATAATAATAATAATAATAATAATAATAATAATAATAATAATAATAATAATATAAAATAATAAAAATAATAAAAATAATAATAATAATAATAATAATAATAATAATAATAAATACGATAGAATTGAAGAAGGAAATTGTACAAAAATACGAGGGCTGAAGCAGTGGTGGAGGAAGTGGTTGACGCATCGTCAGTGTGGCTTTGTTTATGCTGGAGTGAGTATTAGTCTCTGTGCTCTTCCAAAAATTTCACAATAATTCATTGTATTTGGTGCTTGTAGATTGAGTGTGACTGGAGTGGTTGAGGCAATGGTAGAGGCAGTGGGTGAGGCAGTGGTAGAGGCAGTGGGTGAGGCAGTGGTATTTACTAACATTTTTTTTTTTAATAATAATAATAAATGTTATTCATAATGTACTATTGTTATTTATAACATATATGTTAGTAAATATCACTGCCTCTACCACTGTCTCACCCACTGCCTCTACCACTGCCTCAACTGCTGCCTCACCCACTGCCTCTATAACTGCCTCTACCACTGCCTCAACCACTCCAGTCACACTCAATGTACATGCACCAAATACAATGAATTATTGTGAAATGTTTGGAAGAGCACAGAGACTAATACTCACTCCAGCATAAACAAAGCCACACCGACGATGCGTCAACCACTTCCTCCACCACTGCTTCAGCCCTCGTATTTTTGTACAATTTCCTTCTTCAATTCTATCGTATTTATTATTATTATTATTATTATTATTATATTAATATTATTATTAGCAGTAGCAGAAATGTTTGATTCTTTGCTGTGTTCAAGAGTAAACACATGATGTCACCTTCCAATACCTGTCCGAATAGCCATTCTAATATGCAGTCATGGATGGGTTTACATTATTTAAACTGTAGTTTAATAGCAAATAATGAACAAGCAGAACACTCACCACACAGTGGTGGGAGGGCTGGCTGCCAGTTGCAGGGGTTGGAGGGAGGGTAGTAAGGACTCGTGGCGGTAAACTTAAATATGATTTGGCAGCTGGGAATTTGGCGGTTGGGAATTCGCGAATGTGTGAAGCCCGCGAAAGTTGAAAACGCGAATATTGAGGGAGACCTGTAATACAATAATAATTATAATAATACATATAATAATAATAATAGTACATATATAATAATGTGCTACATAATAATAATTATAATAATAGATGGCTTCAAAAGGCCGTCACTAGATGGCAGTGTTTACCACAACATGGAGCGGTTGTGGCCGCCTCCACGTTACATAATGGCATATTTTATTCATTCTAGAGTATATATCAGGTTTCTGTGTTATTTATATTGTTTATTATTTCATATTAGATGAACTGTGATAGATAAATAAGCCGTAGAGTTGATGATAGCGAAATATTCAAGAAATATTTTGTCATGTCTCCAGACAAACACTCGTCGCTGCTGCCGCCACATATATCATGACATCTTTTATTCATTCTAGAGTATATATCAGGTTTCTATGTTATTTATACTGTTTCTTATGTCATATTAGATGAATTGTGATAGATAAGTAAGCCGTATAGATGATATTAGTGAAATTATTCAAGAAGTATTTTGTCCGGTCTCCAGGCAAACTCTCGTCCACCACCGACACCGCCCATACAAGAATTATATACATATTTTATTCATTTTAGAGTATATATATCAGGTTTCTATGTTATTTATATTGTTTATTATGTCATATTAGATGAAGTGAGATAGATAAATAAGCCGTAGAGTTGATATTAGCGAAATTATTGAAGCACAGAATTTCACTGGAACGGATTAATTTCATTTCAATTAATTTAACCCTTAAACAGTCCAAATGTAGATCTACGTTTTTTCAACATTTGAAAGTATGTAAAAAAGTAGATCTTCTTTTTGTTTTTTTACATTTGAAAACGTGTAAAAAAAACTTTGATCAACGTATTTTTGTTATATTTGAAAATATGTAAAAAAAAACGTAGATCTACTTTTGGAGCACTACGCACGTGAACATAGATCTGTTTGGACAGTTTAAGGGTTAAATGAGGAAAATTGACTCTGCAAACGAGCAAATCCAGTTGCAAGCAAGGTCATGGAACGGATTAAACTCGCAAGTAGATGTTCCACTGTATATGCATCTGTGCAGCTCTGGCAAGACAGTGTTTGAGTGAATGATGGTGAAAGTGTCTCTTTTTCACATTACCCTAATTTCAGTGGAAGACATCCAGCATATCAAAAAGATGCACAATCTAGTTCCAGTTAGCTCCTAATAAAATTACTAAGACAAAAAAGATTACACAGTATATGTAAACCTAATGAACTTCCCATCTCAATCACTGAAACAGTAAATAAACTAAAAAAAAATTCTCAAATATAAGGTCTAACCCATCCAGAAAAATCTCGAACTCCCTATCCCAGGTTAGAGAATGTCTTACAGATATTAACCTATATCTATCACCCTCAGAGTACTCTTAATAATAAATCCACTAAAGGATAAAGCATGAATTAAAACTACTATACCTTCACTCAATCCATGGGGAAGTGGAAAAGAATTCTTCCATAAATCATCGTGTTGTAAGAGGCAACTAAAATGCTAGGAGAATGGGGCTAGTAACCCCTTCTCCTGTATAAATTACTAAACCTAAAAAGAAAAACTTTTGTTTTTATTTTTAGGTCACCCTGCCTCAGTGGGATACAGCCTGTGCACTAAAAAAAAAAAAAAAAAAAAAATTCACTGAAAAAAGCTGAGCATGGACTGTCACTAACCGGTTAACACTTTTTTAACACACCGTAAATCATCCACTGAGGCAGGGTGTGAGAACAGAAAACAGAACCATTCACTGTCATTCATTCAACTCGTCTTGGAAGAAGTATGCTAACATTACAGTTCAGATGGCCCTCCAAACTGTAACACCTTCGCCACTCCTTCAGAATATAGGCACTGTACTTCCCACCTTGAAGATTCAAGTCTGGTAACCATTTTTTCTGCGTCTCATCATGTTATCTTCCTTATACTCCACCATCACACCTTAAATAACAAAAAAAGTCACAATACCATGACTGGAACAATACACAAATAACCCGCACATAGAGAGATGTTTTGGTGCGACTTGGTCTAAGTCGGACCGAAATGTTGTCGTAAGCTCCTCTCTTCTATGTGTGGGCTATTTGTGTACATCACACCTTAAGTCACAAAATCACTTGCCTATACTCACTCTGATCTAATGTGCTCAGACAAGCCAGCTGGATGTTCAAGTCCCCAGCACTCAAAACCTACTTTACCTCCTCCCTCAAACCCCTCCTAGGACAATTTTTGTCCCTCCACCCCAGATCTATTTACTTTTCTAGATTTCTTTAATGCCTCAACTGAAACCAAAACTTTTCCTCATGTACTTACTTTAGGTAGAGTTACACCAAGCTACAAAAGTGGAGATTCATCTGAAATCAATTACTATAGGCAAACTTCTAACTTGCCCTTACAATCTGAAGCATTTAGAGAATAAAAATGTACAGTAATAATAAAAATGCTTGATTCAATCTGACATTCCCAGAAAATAATGAATATCCAAAATAAGGTTTAAGCTGGGAAATGGACAGAGACCACAAACAGAAAACCGTCTGGAAGGGAAAACGCTTGCAGAGTTCAAAAAAAAAAAAATATAAAAAAAATAACCCTCTCTAAATTTGCCTTCTGAAGCACATATAACAAAACAACAAAGCACAGGCTAAGCTTGCAAATATGTGCATATTTTTTCAGTGTGAGAGTACCAGACAAGTAAAATGAGCTGAGCAATGACATAGTGGAAACTATCTTCTAACAGGAGACCAACAGCAAATAGAAGAGAGCTCAATCATGCCAGCTGGTTGAAAGCTAAGAGGCAAGACCAAGAGCTGGAACTAAAATACATAATTACATATGGGTGATAATACTAGTGTTCCAAAATGTGTGACTGTTTGTACTGAATATGTACTCAAAATGCAATTATCACAGAGACCAAGCAACAAAATTTTATTTTTTTTTACATATAATAAATTAAAAATACTCACTTTACTTTTTTGGCTGTTCCTTCATCAATGATACTCTGAACTTTTTGAGCATCAATGTGTGGGAACACAGGTTGGTGAATTCGAGTAAATGAACCTTCAGTAGGCTTTGGAATCTTAGCAACAAATGGTTGTGGGTTAGGGTTCTCATTGCTATACAGCTGCTGAGCAAGTTCCTGTAGAAAAATATTAATGTCAAAAGAAAAAAAACAGCAAGTTCAATTTCTCAAATTAGTGTGAGAGTAGGCTATGCTAAGTGTAAGCCAAAGATATATATAAAGTTAGGTTCATAATGTCTTAAACCTTCAAAGAGGGTGCCTTGATACATGTGAAAGGTTCTTGATTCAAGGAACTGGAGCTACCCTCACCTTTCTTAATAAAATCTAAAAGATAATCAGGTTTGATCAAGAGCCTTTTACAAGTACCAAGGCAACCATTTAAAGGGTTAAGACATTATAAGCCTAGCTGTCTTTCTAGCTTTATCTTACCTCTGCCAAGGGTTCTTGATCTTTCTCTTGATAAATCAGTATTCATACCAGAAAGAGAAAATTACAAAAGCTGCCAGAGTTCTACAGAATTTAATGCAAGAAACTAAAGTGAAATACTATTAAGAAAAGACCATTTTTATGAAGATGAAAGTAAAAGGAGGAAGAGTTTTATGATTTTTTTTCAACACGTCAGTCATTTAATCGCTAGGGTGAGTGATTAAACAAAAATCTTTACAATGGAAAATAGAAAGAGAGGCCAATTCATAGAAAAATATAAGAAGCAATTTTTAACAAGTACACCACTGAAAAATTCACATTAACTATGGATGCCAGGAAAGTATGGCAGCAAAATACTCTTGCTTTATTCTTTTAAAATCTTATGAAGAATAAAAATGGCATTTTCAAGGAGAGAGATTATTTTCCATCAAAAGTAGGCCTTAGAGATGCACGATGTCACTACGGTTGTTTAACATTTATAGATGGGGTTGTAAAAGAAGTGAATGTTAAGAGTGTTGGGGAGAGGTGTGGGATTAAAATATGCAGAATCTAATACAAAACAGGAGTTTATCACAGAGGGCCTGGACAACCAGTAAATATGTACAAACATGTTAGATATGAGTGGAATCAAATAGTTTTTGGACTTTGATGAGCTGTTGGTGTGAGCAAGGTAACATTAGTGAAGTGATTCAGGAAAAACCAGTTGGTCAGACTTTAGTACTGGAGATGGGAAATAGTGCCTACACTATGGAGGGATGGGGATATTAACAGTTGGGAGGGGCATCTGAACTGTAAAATTCTAGCACCTCTGGCAAGGCAGTACTAGAGTGAATGATGTTGAGTGTTTTTCTTCTTGTTTGGGTCACTACCTCAGTGAGAGATGGCCAGCGTGTTAAAACAACAAATGAAATACCACTTGCATTATTTCATTATTATAGTATGATTTAAATGTTTCATGCTTTTCAAGATTTCCATTATGTATATAAACCTTCAAGATGAACAGAGATTTTATTCCTGGAAGACAAGTTATGCAATGAAAAACTAAAACTAATAGCTTTATAATAGATTTAAATAAATAAATTAAATAAATAAATATACAGTGGACCCTCGCCTTACGATATTAATCCGTTCCTGAGAGCTCATTGTAAGCTGAAATTATCGTTAGCCGAATTAATTTTCCCATGAGAAATAATGGAAATCAAATTAATCCGTTCCTGACACCCCAAAGTATGAAAAAAAAAAAATTTTTACCACATGAAATATTAATTTTAATACATACAAACTGAAGAAGACATGCACAATTACTACTCTACTAAGAATAGAATACATGACACTTACCTTTATTGAAGATCTGGTGATGATTGATGGGATGGAAGGAGGGGAGTGTGTGGAAGTTATTGTTTAGAAAGGGAATCTCCTTCCATTAGGACTTGAGGTAGCAAGTCCTTTTACGGGGTTACTTCCCTTCTTCTTTTAATGCCACTAGGACCAGCTTGAGAGTCACTGGACCTCTGATGCACAACAAATCTGTCCATAGAACTTTGTACCTCCTGTTCCTTTAAGACTTTCCTAAAATGGGCCATAACATTGTCATTGTACAGGTTGCCAACACGGCTTGCAGTAGCTGTGTCAAGGGTGATTTTCATCTGTAAAGGTTTGCAGTTCAACCCACTTTTCACACATTTCCTTAATCTCTCTTTTCAATTCCATACTAATTCTTGCCCTTTTTACCACAGGGATGGCACTAGAAGCTTTCTTAGGGTCCATGGTGACTTATTTTGCAGTTACAAGCACTAAAAACACTGGGTATTACAAAAACACTAGTTTTCCTTCAACCAGTGCAGTAATATGAGAGTTCGGGATACTTAATACACAAAACAATTTATCATTTTTACTAGCATATAAAAACAATCTTTGGTATATATATATATATATATATATATATATTTTTTTTTTTTTTTTATTATCACACCGGCCGATTCCCACCAAGGCAGGGTGGCCCGAAAAAGAAAAACTTTCACCATCATTCACTCCATCACTGTCTTGCCAGAAGGGTGCTTTACACTACAGTTTTTAAACTGCAACATTAACACCCCTCCTTCAGAGTGCAGGCACTGTACTTCCCATCTCCAGAACTCAAGTCCGGCCTGCCGGTTTCCCTGAATCCCTTCATAAATGTTACTTTGCTCACACTCCAACAGCACGTCAAGTATTAAAAACCATTTGTCTCCATTCACTCCTATCAAACACGCTCACGCATGCCTGCTGGAAGTCCAAGCCCCTCGCACACAAAACCTCCTTTACCCCCTCCCTCCAACCCTTCCTAGGCCGACCCCTACCCCGCCTTCCTTCCACTACAGACTGATACACTCTTGAAGTCATTCTGTTTCGCTCCATTCTCTCTACATGTCCGAACCACCTCAACAACCCTTCCTCAGCCCTCTGGACAACAGTTTTGGTAATCCCGCACCTCCTCCTAACTTCCAAACTACGAATTCTCTGCATTATATTCACACCACACATTGCCCTCAGACATGACATCTCCACTGCCTCCAGCCTTCTCCTCGCTGCAACATTCATAAACCCACGCTTCAAAACCCATATAAGAGCGTTGGTAAAACTATACTCTCATACATTCCCCTCTTTGCCTCCAAGGACAAAGTTCTTTGTCTCCACAGACTCCTAAGTGCACCACTCACTCTTTTTCCCCTCATCAATTTCTATGATTCACCTCATCTTTCATAGACCCATCCGCTGACAACGTCCACTCCCAAATATCTGAATACGTTCACCTCCTCCATACCCCTCCCCCTCCAATCTGTATTCAATCTTTTATCACCTAATCTTTTTTTTATCCTCATAACCTTACTCTTTCCTGTATTCACCTTTAATTTTCTTCTTTTGCACACCCTCCAAATTCATCCCCCAATCTCTGCAACTTCTCTTCAGAATCTCCCAAGAGCACAGTGTCATCAGCAAAGAGCACTGTGACAACTCCCACTTTGTGTGTGATTCTTTATCTTTTTAACTCCACGCCTCTTGCCAAGACCCTCGCATTTACTTCTCTTACAACCCCATCTATAAATATATTAAACAACCACGGTGACATCACACATCCTTGTCTAAGGCCTACTTTTACTGGGAAAAAATTTCCCTCTTTCCTACATACTCTAACTTGAGCCTCACTATCCTCGTAAAAACTCTTCACTGCATTTAGTAACTTACCACCTATGCCCATATACTTGCTACAACTGCCACATTGCTCCTCTATCCACTCTACTTATCATTATTATATATATATATTAAAATTATGGGGTATCAAATTCAAAATGGGAATTGGACACCAGTTACTTTTTGTGATTGAATACCGTGCTTATGGGAGATTCTAAAGAATAAAGGCAAAGGTTGTGGATGAGTTTGGGAATGTGTGTTAAAGGTAGAATGTTGAAAGTGACCATAGAAAAGAGTAAGGTGATGGTGTGTCAAATGATTTAGATTAAAGAAAAATTGGATATCAAATTGGGGAGGAGGTGTATGGAAGAAGTGAAATGTTTCAGATACTTGGGAGTTGACGTGTCGGCGGATGGATTTAGAAGGATGAGGTTAATCATAGAATTGATGAGGGAAAAAGGTGAGTGGTGCGTTGAGGTATATTTTGGAGCCCAAAAAACGTTATCTATGGAGGCAAAGAAGGGAATGTATGAAAGTATAGTAGTACCAACACTCTTATATGGGTGTGAAGTTTGGGTGGTAAATGCAGCAGCGAGGAGCGGTTGGAGGCAGCGGAGATGTCCTGTTTAAGGGCAATGTGTGGTGTAAATATTATGCAAAAAAATTCAGAGTGTGGAAATTAGGAAAAGGTGTGGATTTAAATAAAAGTATTAGTCAGAGGGCAGAAGAGGGGTTGTTGAGGTGGTTTGGTCATTTAGAGAGAATGGATCAAAGTAGAATGACATGGAAAGCATATAAATCTATAGGGGAAGGAAGACGGGGTAGGGGTCTCCTCGAAAGGGTTGGAGAGAGGGGGTTTAAAAGGGGGTTTTGTGGGCTAGGGGCTTGGATTCCAGCAAGCGTGCGTGAGTGTGTTAGATAGGAGTGAATGGAGACGAATGGTACTTGGGACCTGACGATCTGTTGGAGGTGTGCCAGGGTAATATTTAGTGAAGGGACTCAGGGAACCGGTTATTTTCATATAGTCAGACTTGAGTCCTGGAAATGGGAAGTACAATGCCTGCACTTTAAAGGAGGGGTTTGGGATATTGGCAGTTTGGAGGGATATGTTGTGTATCTTTATATGTGTATACTTCTAGACTGTTGTATTCTGAGCACCTCTGCAAAACAGTGATAATGGGGCGATGTGGTGTGAAAGTGTTGAATGATGATGAAAGTATTTTCTTTTTGGGGATTTTCTTCTTTTTTGGGTCACCTGCCTCGGTGGGAGACGGCTGACTTGTTGAAAAAAAAAAAAAAAAAAAATATTATATATATATATATATATATTTTATATAATATATATATACATACATACATACAACATACATACATACATACATACATACATACACATACATACATACATACATACATATACATATACATACACACACACACACACACACACACACACACACATTTTTTTTTTTTTTTTCTTTTTTCAACAAGTCTCACACATACATATACATATATATATA